GTGTGTGTGTGTGTGTGTGTGTGTGTGTGTGTGTGTGTGTGTGTGTGAGATGGAGACAGATGGTTGCACCGTTAACCTCGGTGTAGTCAGGACCTCGTGGATTTCTGTGCATCACGCTGCACTGCAGCAAGACACTCGGCTCTCAGGAGGCTTCACAGACTCCCTGAGCTTTGTTCTTATAGCAGATCTGATGACAGGGAATAACTTAGTGTCCTGCACTCTTTGAAAGTTGAGCCCAGTAAACCTAAAACAATCGTGAAAGATAAAGCAGACGGTGTGGGCTAAACAGAATAACATATACCCAGTTAACTGAGGGTCTACTACCGTTTTACTTCACAAATATCAAACACTGAATTATGTTTATCTCACAAATTTCATTATAAAAACTAAACATTTGAGTTCTACAAATAAAAGTACTCAAAGTCCACTTGCTGTCTTTTTCTGTGCACTTCATGGTCCTCAGCAGATGCAGTTTTCTCACTTGTAGCTCCGTGGTCATCACTAAACCTTAGCATGGCAGTACTTATATCAAAGGTACTTACAGTATGTTAGTGTTTACTTCTGTGCTGTTGTTTATACCATGAGGTGTTTCTATTGTTTTGTCCACCCCCTGTATGTCAGTAGGTGTATGCACTGTCACTGCTCATCAGATTTCTTGGCTGCATCCCAACAAACTCAGCTTGCGTCCTGCGCCTCAGAGGAGACCGTGTACTTCATGAGCACTAGGTGGCAGCAGTGTCCTCAACTTCTGCTCAGTGCAACCCCGAACATTACGTTTCTGTGGATATTTCGGTCATAGTTCGTGTCCATTAGAATTCATTGTAATCTACATGAAGTCACACTGACAGGAAGCCTACAGACACAATGATCTTAGGAGCAGGACGAGAGGTTTAATGGAAAGCCATTCAAGTCATAAATAACAAATCTGTTCATGAAATACATAAATATGGCTGTCAATAAGTTTAAAATTGATTAGCTTCACATATGCTTAAGCACGACTATATTTAGCGACTCTAACCACCTCGTCTCTTCAGATGCTGAGCCCTAGATCATGAAGATAAGAGATACTCATTTTAAAATCCTTTTGAACAAAGCTGTTGGAACTTATAAAATGCTAAGATATTGTGCAAGCTTGTGCTCTTTGTTTATCATATTTTATTGTAAGTTTTCATAACTTTTATTCTTAAATTACGTCTTTATTGTCACGCACCAATCACCAAGCCAAATTCCTCGTATGTGCAAACGTGTTTTGCAATAAACTGATTCTGATTCTTATCCACACACAGGTGAAAGCAGAAAGCAGCCCTTCCTCAGGAGAGGCAGGTGACCTCCATTAACAAGTTCTCCTCACCACGACCTCGGCAGTAAATGTCGGAGAAAGAAGCTGGCAACACAGCAGCCACTGCATGAAGGCGCTGAGCACAGAGAAGCTCCAACTTTAAAGAAGAGGGAATCCTCGTCACATCCTGCTGAGCAGAGAGGCTTTCACATCCTGCTGGGCTCATTGACGTTTTTTCCACCAACAATATATAATCCTAACAACAAGGAGCCACAATAATGCTCCGTATGAGAGGTTTAAGTGGCATGCAGCCTCAGACCTCGAAGAAAGGAACCAACAAACAGTGTTTAATAGCAGGACAATGAGCTGAGTCTAAGAGATGAGCTCCTCTAGCACGTATGTGACAAACGTCTCATAGGGCTGGGACAGGAGACATTCTAATTGACTGGGACAGTGTTCACAAGAACGACTTGAACAGAATATTTGTGTAAGAGACTTGAATGTGACATCTCTCATTCTCAAAAGATGGATGCAATCTTTGCAAAGAACTGGTAAGACTGACCCTAAATTAGAACAAGTAAGACTAGATCATCCTGGCTTTTCCCGACTCTAGATTAGGAGAAAAGCAACATGATGATTACTTTTAATTTTTACAGCTTGAGAGGCTTTTTTTTTGTTTTAATAAAGTAATTTCAAGAAAAGTTACAATATAATATGTTGAAAAATGTCAGGGGTGTCTTGAAAAGTTCATAAAAAACGAATGGCTTAGTATGTCTAAAAAAGTCATGGTAATCATATTGTATATAATTAAAAAGTGAAAGTATAGTATGTTGAAAAATACCTTGAAAGAAGTCATACTATACGAAGCAATCCGGATGCAGTAAACAATTGTTACTATGAAAACTACAACATTAAAAAAACATCACTGTTGTTGGTATAATGCTGGGATAGCAGTTTGGCTAAAGTATATTTGCCCAGGGATTTATTAATCATACCTCTTCTACTTAATTGTGTGAATTGGAATGAGAAAAAGTAGAGAATTTTGAAACAATTTAAAGCGTTTTTAAGATTAAGACTTAAGATTAGAGCTACATTGTGTTGATTTAATGTTGAAAGAGTCATGCTGACAAAAGGCAAGATGCATCAATATGGAACCAAAACCACATGACATCCTGACAGTTAAAGTCCTTGGCGTTGTTTACCTATAACCACGACCATCTTCTTACGACTAAGGTGCGGTCCAAGAAGTTAGAACTTCATGGACTGGAAAACACAGAGTGGACAAAATCCACACAGCAATTATTCTTCTTCTGAAACAAATTAATGCAAAACACACAGGGGCATATACACTTCATTTGTAGAAGATAGAGTTGCACCTGAACCATCTGCAGCTTTGATTTTGAACCGTTTAATAAGAGGTCAGCGCCTCCAAGTTTAGTGCTGTGGTAGTCTGTTAGAAAACTTCACACTTCAGGTTTAGAGAGAGTTACTGCCCCAAAGGTCAGATATGTTGAGCTCTTGTTTATTGAGTACATCAAAATGTTACATTTCTATTTCACACCTCAAGTTAATAAAAGACGTAATAGTTTCAAGATGATTGTTCTCTGCAGGCGTACATAGTAAGTAGTTAATGAAGAATTACAATTGCTGTGACATGAGCGATTCTACAGCATTAATTCAGCATACATTTTCTGAATGAAATCAATGATGTTGGACATTTTAACAACTGTTATACCACTTTTTATATTTTCAAGCCCATGTTCGGGGGG